GGCTGGAAAGCAGGACAGGTGACACTAGGGTGTGTAGAAACTGCACCTAATACTTTAACATGGGGTTGGACAAGACCATCCAAGACTTTTCTACCAGCCTCAAGCATCTGGGATTTCATAATTTTTAGTGCTTGGGTCTGGAAAGAAGTCAAATAGTTATTGCTCTAAGGCTTCAAAATAAGATATACTAGTGGATAGATGTGTGGATGAAGAGACAAAACTGATGTATTTAAGAGATACTTAAGAAATATAATTAGGGTGATATGGTAAACAATGAGATGTGAATGTGTAGAAGAAGGGGGAGTATAAAAAAGATTCCTAATTTTTTTGATTTCTTGTTTCTAGATGGATGTTGGAAATATTCAGTGGGATTGGAGGTATATCAACAGAAAGAAAATTTGTGCAGATTCTGGCATGATGAAACTTCTCTTTTATCACATAACTGCCTGTCTAAGTGGTGGGAGTAAACAATAATTTCTAATACAATCATGTTATTCTGTGAAGAAAGGAAGGGAGGTAGGAAGGAAGGAAAGAGAAGGAGGCAGGGAGGCAGGGAGGAAAAGATTTGTATGGAATGAATTATACTTTCTTTTTTTAAATAAAAAGAAAGTATAATTCATTAATTGAAGGCAGAGAGGGGAAAGATAAAGAGAAAAGGAGGCCCATGAATAAAGGAGGTGTTAACATTTAGAAACAAGGAAAGAAAAAAAGCAAAAAGACAAAACCTCTGAATCAAAAAAAAAAAAAAAAATGCCAGTCTTTTTAGTTAAAGCCAGCTATGGTCTTTGGAGCACTGGGGCATGAGGGACATGGCTGAGATAGGGGAAGACTGACAAGACAAGATGTGGAAATTTTAACTTACCTACAGAGTCGTTGTTGAGTGCCCTGGAGAAATTCAGATTTCCCAGAAGCCAAGGTTCACAGAGTTATGCTGCAGGAGTTAGAATTCCTGTGTTTATGTTCAAAAACTCAACTCGACTTTACTAAATTGAGGAGAAGGAGAAGCAGAAAGAGAGGGAAGATGAGAAGAAAAAGGAAGAAGGAGGGAAGCGGGTAGAAGGAGGAGGAATATTGCTATCTAGAATCTGTAAACAGGCTAATCCAGTTCTCTGAATCACCTTCCTCTTCCCTCTTTACAGTGTGCCTTTTTCTGGAAAGACCTTTCTTCCAGATAGAAAAAAATGTTCAAGTTGTGACTTCATCAAGTGCAGAGAAGAGCTTTCCTCAGAAACCCCAGAGTCCGATAGCTTCTCATTGGTGGAGATTATATCACATGATCTCCTGCAGCCAATTGCTGAGTTCAGAGCCAGTTCTAGATTGGGTGTTAGACCAATCAGGGCCTGACCCAGTAACTGGATATAGAATCGACACAATTCACACCTTCTTGGTTGTTGTTGGGGAAGCTGTGGATCCAAAGCTGGAGAAGTTCATGTGGAGGCAGAGTGGTGATAAATGCCCCAGTTTAGACAAAGGCTGACTTCAAAAAAGCCCATGAAGTTGAGCCCAGAATGGAACAAACAAACAAACAAAAAAATAGGTTTCAGAGGGGCATACAGCCTCACAGTTAATAGTGGGACACCGCAGGCAAAGTCCCGGAGTCCTGATATTTGCACCAGCACTTCCTGGCTGCAAGGCCTTGGGCAGATTTTTTCTCTTTGTGCTTCTGTTTTCTCATCTATAATATGGTAATTATAATAGCACCTACTTCATACAGTTGTAAACATTGAGATATAACAGGAAAAAAACTCAAGAGTGCCTGAGATCACATGGGAGGCTTTACTATTGTTAATTTTAAAAATATGTGTTTTTTTATTACAATTTTAGATTTACAGGAAAATGGAGTGAATGATAAAGAGTTCCTATAGAACACCCCTCCATACATATGGTTTTGCATTTTCCTTTCTACTAATATTTTGCATTAGTATGGTATAATTGTTACAATAAATGAACAATGTTACTATATTATTATTAACTGAAATGCGTACTTTATTTGTATTTCTTTAGTTTTTCCTTATGTTTTTCTCTTCTAGGACACCAACCAGGACCCATGTTACATTTAGGTGCCATGTGTTGTTATATTTTCTTAATGTTTGATGACCTGGACAATTGAGGATTACAAATAAGACATTTTATAGAATTCCCTTCTATTGGAATTTACTTGATATTTTTCTCATGGATAACAATGGAATTATGGGTTTGGGGAGAAAGATCAGAGATCAAGTGCCGTTTCAACATGTATAATATAAAAAATATTTCTTATTAACATGAGTTGATGGCTAACATTATTATCCTTTTTTACCTGAATGATACAGTGTTGCTCAGGTTTGTTGAAAATGAAGTTACTAATTTTTTCCTGTTCCATTCTATTCTTTGGAAGAAATTCATTACAGTTCACATTCAGGGGTTAGGGAGTTTTGCATCTCTTTTTATTTTTTTATTTTTAATTTTTTATTGTGGGTTGTTCAAAACATTACAAATTTCTTGACATATCATATTCCACACTTTGATTCAAGTGGGTTATGAACTCCCACCTTCACCCCATACACAGATTGCAGAATCACATCAGTTACACATCCATTGATTTACATATTGCCATACTAGTGTCTGTTGTGCTCAGCTGCCTTTCCCATCCTCCCCCCTCCCCCCTCCCCACCTCTCCCCTCCCCTCCCCTCCTCTCTCTCTACCCCCTCCACTGTATAACCCTGAGGGTCTCCTTCCATTACCATGCAATTTCCCTTCTCTCTCCCTTTCCCTCCCACCTCTCATCCCTGTTAAATGTTAATCTTCTTCTCCTGCTCTTCATCCCTACTCTGTTCTTAGTTACTCTCCTTATATCAAAGAAGACATTTGGCATTTGTTTTTTAGGGATTGGCTAGCTTCACTTAGCATAATCTGCTCTAATGCCATCCATTTCCCTGTAAATTCTATGATTTTGTCATTTTTTAATGCAGAGTAATACTCCATTGTGTATAAATGCCACATTTTTTTTATCCATTCGTCTATTGAAGGGCATCTAGGTTGGTTCCACAGTCTTGCTATTGTGAACTGTGCTGCTATGAACATCGTTGCATCTCTTTTTATAGGTGGAGTAAATACATAGTTATTTTTATCTTCCTTAAGATTTAGTATATTTAGATTATTCTAATTAAACATTATGCTAATAAAACATTAATTGACATTTAATAATTTTTCATGTTTATGAGGTACCCTGTGATGTTTTGATACATATATATATATATATATATATATATATATATTCTGTATTGATCATTCAAGGTAATCAGCATATCCATCACCTCAAACATTTATTATTTCTTTGGGCTGAGAACAATCAAAATCCTTTCCTCTTGATATATTGAAGTACACACTATGTTATTGTTCACTGTAGTCACCCTATCATGCAATAGACACCAGTATTTATTCACCCTATCTAACTGTAACTATACCAATGTGTTATGGTTAGACATGGAATGTCCCCAAAAGCTCATGTGTGAAACAGTGCTAAGGAAGTGTTAGTTGTTAAAAATAGTATAATCACTAAAGAAACACTAAGTACTTCAGCCAGAAATAATAGGAAAGATGGTTTATGGCATCTCAGGAGTTGGCAAGACATCACCCATCTCAGGCTCAATCTTATAAAAGTAATAATTCCTTTGGAAAGAGACCTTTGGGAGCATCTGCTTGCCTAAAAGGTGCCTAGAAAGTGGTTTCACTGTGCTCAGTCAGGTACCTAGATACTCAGAGGCTGCTACAGCCATGGTCCCATGAGGCTTGGCTACTGCTTCAGATGGTGGCAGACCTTTGTGGGAACCACATGGTGCTGGTTCTGTGGGATTCAAGATGCTGGAGCTATTGTGTCATGAAAACTTTCACTGAGATTTCAAAGGAAGACATGGGACACCAGGCAAAGTGTAGCAGAGGAGGACTTCCTAGGGGCTGCCCCTGAAAGGGTGATGCATGAAGATGTGAGAAAGAAGCTGAAGCTCAGTGAAAACCTCCAAGATTAAGAGATACCAGTACCATGAAATGTCTGCTGAGGAAAGATGGAAGAATTGGCACAGACAAGCCAAGAGACAATGTGAGTTACAAACAGCAAGATCAAGACCGTAGGGGCAGAGTTACAAAAGCCATCAGAGAGAACAGCATAATGCCATATGGCCTCTAGGATGTGTCTGCCAGTTGAATTGGGGTGTTTCTTTGGTTTCATACCCTTTTCCCATGCCCCTATATTTACCTTGTGAATGGAAATGTTTACTCTGTGCCATATTAGATATACGTAACTTGGCTTTGATCTTTACAATGAAAATAGCTATGAGTTTTTCTGAAATCTCAGATGAGATTTTGAACTTGAACTTTGGGGCAATGTTAGAACTATTAAGACTAGAAAGACACTTGGAAATGGACTAAAAGTAGTTTGCCTAGTGATATGGACATAAGTTTTGGGGGGCAGGGATAAAATTTTATTGTTTCCATATAAGTTATATTGTTTAGATATAAGTTATATGCTCATGTGTGAGGAAACACAAGAACATTCCGAGGTGAACTGTTTGTGTCATAAGACCATTAAGCTAATGAGTGCATTAATCTGCTGCTATGAATTAACTGAGTAGTAACTGTAGGCAATAAGATATAGCTGGAGGAAGTGAGTCACTGCAAGTGTGCCTTTGGCGTTTATATTTTATTTCTAGTGGGCAGAGCACTTGCGTGCTCTCTCTCTCTCTCTCTCTCTCTCTCTCTCTCTCTCTCTCTCTCTC